ATTGCTTTTCGTACTTATTCTGGAGATATCATTCAACCCAAGGGGAAAGTGCATGTAAATGTTGCATTTCAAAACAAAAACATTACAGGTGAACTTCATATTGTTCCAGCTGGATGTGCAGCTATTCTAGGCCGTCAATGGATTCGAGCCTTAGAAATCGAACTTTTACAAATAGATGCTAATATATCAAACACTTCAATTCATAAATCACCAGTGTATCAAATCAATCCTCTCAATTCACTTTTGGAAAAATTTTCACCCCTCTTTGAAGAACGAGTTGGTTGCGTCCCTCATTTTCAAGTATCACTTCAACTTAGGGATGGAGCAAAAGCCATTTTTACTAGGGAGCGTGACGTTCCTTATGCTCTCCGGGACCGCGTCAATAAAGAATTGGACTCTCTTGAGGCAGATGGAATAATATCCTTAGTGCCTGCGAGTGATTGGGGGTCACCATTGGTTGTCATTCCAAAACCAAACGGTGGCGTCCGATTATGTGTTGATTACAAATGTGGAGTCAATGAACGATTAATTCAATCAAATCATCCAGTAAGAAGGATAGATGATGTGCTTCATAGTCTTCGAAATTCATGATATTTTTGTAAACTTGATTTATTTAAAGCCTACCTACATCTAAAAGTTGATGAAGATGGTAGCATGATACAGACCATTTCAACACATCGTGGTACGTATCGCATGCATAGGCCTAGTTTTGGAATCAAGACAGCACCATCAGAATTCAATCGCATTCTTTCGCAAATTCTCAAAGGATTACCAAAAACAGAATCTTACTTTGACGATATTATTATACATTATGAAACACTTCAAGAATGTACTGAAAATTTAGAAGCTTGCTTACAAGGACTTTCTGACTATGATTTGCACATAAATAAACAAAAGTGTTCCTTCTTTCAAGAAAAAATCGAATATCTCGGACATGTTATTGAATATAATAAGATAAGTAAATCGCCAACAAAAATTCAAGCTGTTCAAGAAATGCCAAGACCATCAAATATTGAAGAAATCAAACGATTTTTGGGACTTGTAACTTACTACTCCCGTTTTATGCCAAATTTTTCAACTATATCATACCCACTTCGACGGTTGCTAAGAAAAAACCAGCCTTGGTTATGGACTGCAAGTTGTGAATCTGCATTCCTGAAACTGAAAAATGAACTTACCAGTGATAGAGTTCTTGTTCCTTTTGATACTAGTTTACCAATTGTCCTGACCACAGATGCCAGCCCTACGGGAATTGCAGCAGTATTGAGTCACTCTAAACAAGGTGTAGAAAGACCTATTGCTTACGCATCTCGTTCACTTACCAACTCTGAATAAAACTATAGCCAATTAGATCGAGAGGTTTTAGCTATTATTTTTGGTGTTACACAATTCTTCAATTACTTATTTGGTAAACATTTCAAACTTATTACTGACAATGAGCCACTAACAAGAATTTTTCATTCCCATAAGGCACTACCACGTATGACTTCAACACGATTACTTCGCTATGCTTCCTACTTATCAAGTTTTGATTACTCAGTGCAATTCAAAAAGGGATCTGAAAATGAAAATGTCGATTGCCTGTCTAGAGCTCCAATTCAAAAACCCGAAAACTCAGTCGATAAATTTATAGGGGGAAGAAGCAAATCAAATATGTGCCGAAAACATTTTCCAGATTTCAAGTGAAAAAATAACATCTTTAACCTTCCGTTAGTCGCGCGCACCTCACAGGTGCATCCCTACTGCACTTCCACCTCCTTTGCCGTCATGAGATTTTTCCGGGGGTCGAGCCTAATGTTATCTTCCTAACTTTGGATTACTCAAATGTCCATGTAAAACCGACCTTCGAACATGTCGATGGAGAGTTGGAACCGCTGAAATCACCCCTCTGGTGCAGCACGACCATTGACGCAAGTATTATGGATATATTATTTTTATGAATTAAATATATATATTTTATCTCATTTTCTGTCCTACTCAACATAACAGGTATAAATGGTCAAGTTATATACACAGAAAATGGTTACGGAGTAAAAAACCGCAGATCCTTCTTGCGTCAATTGGTTGAACATCTTGTGATGGAGGAAGAGATCCGACACGGGAGCAAGAAAAATTTATCTTCGGTACTTCGCTAAATAAGTTTTTTGATAATTATCTCTCTAAAGAGTCTTAAATTGGTAACAATTAACTATTTAAACTAGACTAGATTTCATTTGGCTTTCAAAAAATCAGAAACACCTCATAGGTGCAACGCGATTAACCATGTCGGAAANACTCTGAAGATTCAGAATTTACATTGTTTGATGGCATACTTTTTCGAAGAGAAAGAGTAGTTATTCCAAAAAGCTTACGTTCAAACATACTAAAGGAACTTCACGAAACTCATCTAGGAATAACTAAAATGAAGCAACTGGCAAGACAGTATGTTTATTGGCCTGCCATTGATCGTGACATTGAAAATTTAGTCAAAGGATGTGAAGGCTGCGCATTGACAAAGTCTAATCCTCCAAAGGTATCTGTCCATCCGTGGGAATCTCCAGCAGATAACTGGGACAGAATTCATATAGATTATGCAGGTCCATTTGAAAATTACTATTTTTTGGTGTGTGTTGATGCTAAGTCCAAATGGGTGGAAGTCGAATCATTAAAGATGCCCCAACTAGTTCAAAAACTATCCTTTTGATAGAAATTTTTTTTTCTTTTCATGGCTATCCACAGGTTATTGTATCTGATAATGCCTCAATATTTCAAAGTGAAGAATTCCATTCTTATTGTTCTAATCGAGGAATATTTCAAAAACTCATCGCTCCAGGACATCCTTCCACCAATGGCCTTGCAGAGCGAAACGTCCAAACCTTAAAGCAAAAGTTAAAAGCTTCTTTTCTTGAAAAATCCTCAATCCCAAGTAAAGTTCAAAAGATATTATTCCGTTATAGAGCAACACCTCTAGCTTGTGGACAGTCACCTGCTCAATTATACTTACATAGAAAAATCCGCATACGTTTAAACTCAATCTTTCCTTATCATCCAACACCATCAACAGTTTCCAGTAATCCTGTAAGATCTTTTTCAGTGGGGGAGAGAGTCCAGGTGAGGTTGTTCATAAATAACCATAACGTATGGCAGTTTGGCAAAGTCGTGAAAAAGTATGGTACACGTCATTATTTGATTTTACTAGACTAAGGTCGGCAATTAAAGAGACACATAAACCAATTAAGATCAACATTAAATCCAGAGAAAAAAAAGTGTGTGACTTTTGGCCCAACCCAATCTTTTGACATTCCTAAACCATCTAAGATCTTCTCACCTACTCAGCCTAGTATTCCAGAACTTCCAACAAATTCCAAACAGGACGTTGTGACAAAACCAAAAAGAAAGAGACAATTACCTACACGCTTTAGGGACTTCGTAATGTTATAAGCATATTTCAAATCTGTTTTAAGTATTTTCAATTAAGTGTATTTTTCAATTATATATTTAACATATTCAATTTTTAAGTAGCTAATGTTTTCAATTAACTGTTATTTCAATTCTAATTAAGTGGGGGAGACTGTTGGGATCTTCCATGTAATTCCACTGGCGCTAGTATCGCGGTTGTGATGTAATTGCAACTGTGTTTACATTGTATGTTTCAGTTTCGATTTCCAGTATGTTCTTTTGTTGATGTGTTCTATGTACGTATTGTGAATAAAGTTATTGTTATGTTATAAGTTATCAATATTAGTGCTATCATTGTCAATCATCCTAAATACATATCCCATGCCATATAATAAACGGTCACAACAACTAACCACAAACCTTCCCATAAAATTTTCAATATCTAATTTTTTTTTATCTCAACCGGTGTAAGCATTTCTAGAATATGCGCAGAGGGCATTATTTACAAAAACTTCGTTTAAAGTAATTTTTTCTCTCAATAAATTGTTTGTCCCAAGTAAATCTGTCATTTTCTTGACTACTTTTATTTAATGGTTTATAACCGAAATCGATAGAGCCAGCAATCAATGTCTTACGTCAATAGATTGATTAGATACCCTCCTATATAAACATCTCTTGTGGCATAAATAACGAACCAATTTTCTGGTTCAAAATCTGCTTCAAAACATTTTTCAAGCTGAGTAGGTTTTTGTGTTGTCATTTTCCTGGCTTTTAAAAATCATTAATAACATAAATTACATAGATTTATCTGAGTTATTTTAAGAAATCCTGTTGTTTTCTGCAGAATACAAGCGTCTTCGACCGAAATATTAAATTAATGTAAAGTTATATGATATAAAATGGCGAATTTGTCATTATCCTGGCAGTCATTTTCCTGGCTTTTGAATGCCAGGACATTGAAGTGTTACCAGAGTTTTTTAAAATGTAGTTTCAGAATTTTTTGTAACTAATACTGTAAGGAGGGAAAGTAAATACTAACCTATCAAGAAAGTAAATACTAACCTATCAAGAAAGTAAATACTAAAATATCAAGTTTATGTATGATTGCAATATGCTTGGATGTAATCATGTTACTTATTTATTTAATGATTGACACACAATTTTATTCTGTACAGTTCACACAAAAAAAAGATATCACCCTGAATAACTTTCGTTCTAATGATCAGATTTTCGCGAACTAAGTGTCACTCTTAATGCTTCCTGGAGGTGACGTCAAATACGCTAACTAATTAGTGCTAACTATTAATTCAGTTTCTAAATCAAATACAAAAACGCATTTTCTCTGAATAAATATATTTTTTTTTTACATATTTGGAATCCAGAAACTTTACAAAATTTTAAACAAAATTTGATCGTAAATTGGATCACAATAAAGGTTTATATATTTGGCGATAGTCCAGAAAACCGCAAAAAAAAGTCGCCAGCGCAAATGAATATTTTAAGATAACCCATTGACTAATTCAAAAGAAAAATTAGAATTCTTAATTTTACTAGGTTGCCAGGCAACCACGCTCTGACTGCAAAAAAGATTGAAATAATGCTCTGTGATTGCTCGAAGAGGTTTAAATAATATTTAATAGAAAATATCTCGAAGTTTCCAGGCAAGAGACAATTTTTAAGCTAATTTCTGTCCAAAAAGCAAAAAAAAAATTTATTTAAATCTCCTTTGAAAAGAAAATTTGAATCGATTTATAAACTATTTATGACTTTCTCTAAGTTTTTAGAAATTAAATACATGAACTTTTTATCTGATATTATCTAGATTATGTTCTTTTTTTAATACTTATTCGAGGATTTCATACTAAAATCAAATTAACATAACTTATTATAACTATATACAAAATTTTAGGGATAATCATTTTTACAGCTTTAATCGAGTGTTCTAGGCAAAAAAGTTTGAAGAAGAAAAGTGAGCTTGAAAAATAAAATGTATATTGTATTTATATTGTATATTCTAATGCACATTCACAAGGTTTTCTATAATTTACGATATTTCTATTTTCTACAACTCAAGGAATTGATGAATGTTTAGCAGTATTTTAAAATTATTGAAATATGTTATGTTTAAGAATAAGATATTGAAATATTATGTTGCATATTGTATGATTCATTGTTTAAAAAATCGCTTATTTATTCTGCTAGATATTTAGGTCACAAGGTTTTCTTTGGATAAAGATGATAAGCAAATAGCATCCTCATGTTTCGATACATTCTGAAACTTACGTTCTCAAAAACACCATAAAATGTCGCACAACATATGCTTCAACAACGATAAGCTACACTTACCACCAAATACTGCTACTATGATTATTTTTGTTGTCTTATATTTGTTACCGGCAAAGTATGAAACGCCGGCATTGTATAAAATACCTAGGCATTGTATATAATGCCGGATGTTTTTAGGCAAGGTATGAAATATTATAAGTATTATATACTTTCCGTAGGCATTGTATTAAATACCTAGGCATTCTATAGGATGACAAATGCTATTTAGGCAAAGTATGAAAAAAACATGCTGAAGAGGTTATTATGTAAATGATGTGCACGTTACTTTGAATGACCGAAATCGCGGCGGTCGCTGATTTTCACCGGTGAATGTTGACAATCACATAGTCGCTTTGGTGAATGTATGAAATATTTATTACATCCGATTTTATATTAATTTATTTGTGGATATAATTACATTTATTCGATATTTTAATACTTACTATTAAAATATCGAATAAATATACTTACTATATAATCTATCGTCAGTAAGAATTACGATAGATTAGAAGAAACATCAGTGTGTGGAGTATCGGGCAAATATATATCGGGCAATGGCACCTGACCCTAAAAAAACATCAGTGTTAGGTTATACTGGGAAAATGTATACCGGACAGTGGCACTTGACCTTAAAAAAACTTCAGTGTAGGGTATACCGGGCAAATATATACCGGGCAGTGGCACTTGACCTTAAAAAACATCAGTTTAGGATATCCCGGGCAAATGTATACCGGGCAGTGGCAATTAACTAGACCTAGTATGAATAGACCTTTGATAAATGTCCGAAACATATACTAGGTCTAGTTAAGTACCACTGCCCGGTATACATTTGCCCAGTATATCCTACACTGATGTTTTTTAAGGTCAAGTGCCATTGCCCGGTATACCCTACACTAATGTTTCTTCTAATCTATCGTCAGTAAGAATTAAAATAACGAATAAATGTAATTATATCCACGAGTAAATAAATCTGAAATCGGCTGTGAAAAATATTGCGGACATTCACCAAAGCGACTATGTGATTGTTGACATTCACCGGTGAAAGTCGACATTCTCCAGGTTTTGATCATTCATTTCTCAAAAATAAAAATGTCATTCTGAAAAAATACTGAGAGTGCCATCAAAAAACATTTATTCAAAATGTGTAAAGAAAAATAAAAAGTTGTGCAAAACATAATTAATGCCTTTCTTAAGAAAGGAAACAAAATTTTTATGTAAGAAATAAGAAAATAACCTAATTTTCATTTTTGAATAACATTTTGACGAATCGGAGATGCATTTCATACTTTGCCAGTTCCTCATTCGGCATTCTATAGAATGAGTAGGAAATGTGCGAAATATAAATCATTTCATAATTTGCCGGCTAATTTTAGGCATTATATACAATGCCTAGGCATTCTACAGAATGCCAGATTTCATACTTTATATGTATACGTAACATATATATATCTGATACGATACCCTCTTTTTAAACAGAGTTCGTAAGGTCCTTAAGATACTGAAATGGGGGCATGAAAACTTAAAAGATAAAATATTTAATTTCCTTAACTCAAAATATCAGGTCTCAAAATTTTAATTTTAAAGTTAAATATAACTTTCACAATATTGTTGCTCCTACGTTTTTAAAGACCACATAAATCCTGTTAAAATATGAAAATGCATATGTTTACTTTAACGAGTGTAAAATCCTTATCAGAATAATGATCAAGACCCAAGCCTAAAACAGTATAATTGATGATAAAAACTCAACTGGCCTCAAAAAATATGAAGAGGGAAATAAAAGTCGACAGGTTTCGAGCGTTCAAATATAATCGCCCGTTCTCAAAACTTGTCAAGCTTGAATAACTTGTGACTTTTATTATTGGACACTCAAAACATGTCTATTTTTATTATCATCTATTATTTTTTAAATCAATGAAGCTTTTATATTTTCGATTCAGTTTCTCGGGATTATCTGCTCATTTTCACAACATATTAAAT